ATATATATATATATATATATATATATATAATTTATACATATATATGTACATTTTTTCATAATACAATTTAAAATGTATATAAATATGCATATATATGGTCCATTCCATGCCAAATGGTACACTTTTTTCTCTTTATAACTCAGACTTTTTTAAAAATTTTGCTGGTTAGTAGAGTCTGAACCAGCATACAGAAAGCTCAAAAGACCTAGAAAACTGAAATCTTCACCAAATTACATTTCCTTAAAATTTTAAAATTTGTAGATTGCCGCTTGGCATGCCTACCTTTGCAGACTTATAATTTAACTTATTTTTAACAGAATTTGAATTCAGTTGTTTTCTTTTTTTTTCTGAGCTTTGAATGCATATTGAATGATTTAGTTCTTTAAAAAATTTTTATAGATTCCATAAAGAGAAGATTTCAAACAAGCACTAAGAAAAACGTGTGTAGAATTTAAACTTTTTGAAAACGATACATTTGGTGTAGAATATTTTGCTCTTCAAAATATCAAATGGTGATAGCAGTTTTTGGTATCAATAGTTAGAAGCCAGAAACAAATGTGAAACTGAAAGAAACCCACTGTTTTTACAGTAATTTCAAGTATTTTACAATGGTGAAACCATCCTGGGCAGCTTTTAAAAGCTGCAGACAGCTGTTATAAAAATCTGTATAATTCAAACGTTGAAGATCTGTAGCGAAAATTGTACGTTACTGTAATAATACCAACAAACTATTATCCTGCAGAGTTATAAGAAGTAATGTCTATTTCAGTGTTTTCTACTTCTTGAATTCCGTAGTTTCAGATCTTTTAGATTTGTGCACATAGTGTACTCGTTGCGTAAGCGGACATGAACTTAACTTGCTGTTTTGTCTTTAAAATTATGTGGTCCTCCAGAAATGCAGAAATTTCGAGGGAAACCTTGATTTAGCAGCTAACCAGATAAAGCATACGTTTGTAGACAACTTCTGACTCTAAAATGTATACTAGTCGCATAAACTTGACAGAATAAAATACGAGAAGCAAGAAACATTGGAATAAAGGCTAGTTTTTACAGCTGTGCAGATTGTGCAATAGCTTGTTATATCTCAAAGTAAAATACGACTTTTATAACAAATCTTTAACCTTCAAAGCACGATAAAATTTAATAGTAGTCTTATATGGCTTTCAGAAGAAGTTTAAGACAGTCTTGTCACTGCAAAATACACTGGATTACTGTAAAGGCAGTAGGTTTTTTTCAGTTTTACATTTCTTTCTAACCCATAACTCTAGGTATTAGGAAATCACTGCCACCAAATGTTGATATATTGTAGAGCAAAAAGTTCTGCATAAAATACGTCTTTTTTAAAAAAGATTTAAAAACGCATTTTTTAACAAATGTTTGACATCTTTTTTTTTTTACTGTATCTATGTGATTTTTTGTCAGAATTAAATTGTTTGTTATGCATTTAAAAGATAAAAAAATGTAAAATCTATTGAAAAATTAACTGTATTAAAGGCAGGCTAAATTAAAAATTTTCAAATTTAGGTTTGTCAAGCGGCAACCTGGCAAATTTTGCAACATCGACAGGGCGTAACTTGGCAGGGAATTGGCTTTCCCAGGTTTTTTTTCCTGCTTCCCATACACCTGTTTACACTTTACTGATTAGTAAAATTTAAAAAAAATCTGAGATATGAAGAGAAAAAAGTGTGACACATTTGGCATGGAAAGGCTTATATATATATATATATATAATAGACGTTCAAAAATTTCTTCTAGCTGATAATTTTTCAACACTATGCTACAGTGTTTTTTTTTTTTTTGGTAATATTAATAAAATAAAACTAAAGCCTCTTTTCTCTTTTATTTGAATTTATTGCTTCGGTTGTTTACTTTTTTCTTTTGTATTCAATTTTTTGTTTTGTCTCTAATTACTTTTTATTAACTGCCGACAATATTTTTTTTTTGCTATTGAAAGTTACAAGTTGATTAAAGTATTTGATAAATTTTATTGGACTGATCATTTGTCAATAGATCAAATATCAGAAGGCAGGAAAGAGAAACAAGCAGAGAAGAAAGTGAAAACTATTAATAATTATAACTGTCAAACATGTTTTGCTGCATTAATCTTTTTCTTTTTTAAATCGTTTACTGTTTTACGTTGGTATTTATAGGCTTGTCAACAGGAAATATAGCACAGTTTTAACAAAATCAACTGCTTAAAATTTTTTTGTTTTCTGCTAACATAGCAGTGCTGTTGTTGTCGTTTTCGTTTACCTTTTGCTGTTGGCTGCAATATTTGAACACTCAACTTTTAAAGCTAATCTTTCTTG